GGGTGGATCACTTGAGTTCAGGAGTTTGAGACCAGCCTGGGCAACATGGCAAAACCACACCTCTACAAAAAAAATACAAAAATTAGCCTAGCGTGGCGGCACTTGCCTGTAGTTCCAACTACTGAGGAGGCTGAGGTGGGAGGATTGCTTGTGCCAAGAGACAGAGGTTGCAGTGAGCTGCGATCATACAACTGCACTTCAGCCTGAATGATAGTGAAATCATTATATATATATAATCTTCTGTTGGTTCTGTTTCTCCAAAGAACCCTGTCAAATACAGATGGAAACTAATATATGAGTCTCTACAGTGTTGTAATGACTCTCCTGGAGGTTTGACATAACTTATTTTAACAGAAATTCAGAGAGGGTAGGTATTGTTCACCCTGATTTACAGATGAGAAAACCAAGATCACAGATTTGTAAATGTGAAAGTCAAGATTTCAAATCTCAACCTGACTACAAGACCTATGTTTTAGCTGGGCGCAGTGACTCATACCTGTAATCCTAGCACTTCAGGAGGCCAAGGCAGGAGGATTGCTTGAGCCTAGGAGTTTGAAACCAACCTGGGCAACATGGTGAGACCCTGTCTCTTAAAAAACAAACAAAAAAAGACTTACTGTTTTTGCCATCATGGTTTCCAAACTGTGTTCCAGGGATCTTTGATGTTCCATAGATATAAAGCTCTGGGTCTTCTACCTCCACATCAGTCAGAGAAATCTCCACTTCTGGGAACTCTGTAAAGGGTTTTTCCATAAGAATTATTCTGAAAATAAAGGGGATAGGGGAGTCCTGTGGCTTAAAAAGGAAAAATAATTTAGGAAATAATTTCCTTATATCAAGCACTGTTCTCAAGATGTAACTGTGTTCCTTACTCATTTCTCTATGGAGACAGACTTATCACTAAATAGACCATCTTAGTGCTGTTATTACACATGTTCTCAGAGAATATACTTAAAATAGAAGAAATGCTAAGTATGTGGTAGGAAAAATAATAGCCACAATATATTGAGCGTCTGTTGTGTCATGATCTGTTCTAGGTGTCTAACAAACATAATCTCATTTAATCCCAATAACAGCCGGTTAGAAATAGAGCTTGGAGTTGTAAGGAAAATTAGCACTTAGATAAAGGATTTTTCAGCAAAGCAAATTTATTTTTGTGCAGAGGGATGCCTCCTGTATGGCTGGTCATTACAAGAGCACATAGAATAAAGGAGAGTGAAAATTTTTATTTTTGACGTAAATCTTGTCCCTGTGCTCTTTCCCCACTGGCTGGGGTTGGGCTGTATAATTTAAGCTAGACTTGATTGGCTAAACATTTAAACTTTTTTTTAGATAAGGTGGGCATGTAAGGGAGAGAGGAGAGAAAGGGAAGGGGTTGTCTGTGGCAAGTTAGAGAGTCAGTTTTTTAAAAAATAAGGAAAGGAATGTGAGCTGGTGTTGATAATGTCACTGGTATTGTGGCATGCCTGGGCATGTAGTAAAAGCAGAAAGAAAGAAGAAGAAGAAAGAGAGGTGGAGGGGGTATTGAGAATTAAAGAATAAAGGATTAATCAGGTTGTTTGAAGAGAAACCTTGTCATATCTTAAACAGCCCTCACCAAAGTAAGCAGGAGCATTCCCATTTCATATTTGTTAGAACTTAAGGGAACTTGACCAAAGTGATAGTTGCAGCCAGGAGCTGATCCAGGTTTATCCGGCCCCAGGGCTCATTTTCTACACCATACCAACTCTTGTGGCAACTTATAGAGGAGATTTATATAGAGGACTTATTATAACTCATGGGGTACAGCATGCCCAACACTGAGCACATAAACCACCTCCACCTACAGGTGATGCCTAGGCAGTATTTTATTTTCCACAGTGCCTGCATTCATCTTTTCATCTGACTGTGCCTGTGACAGGGCGCAGCACAATGCAAGCACATAGTGGGTCGACAATAAATGTTGTCATACTATGCAGGGAGGCACAGTTTAGTTCAGAGCATTAGGTGATCCCCACCTGTCAGAGAGTAGAATATTGGAAGTGGAAAATTCTGAGCTGTTACACCATCTCCAGAGTCGTTGGTGGCTACCCATGCTAAGTCATTAGTCCTCTTTGTTTACTGCTGGCTGGCAGGTGAGGTAGGCTCCCTCAGCTACCCAGAGATCTCTGTGTCCTATTGCTCATCTCTCACATTATTTGCTGCCCCTTTCTTGTGTTTTTCTGCTTTAAACTTTGGTTACTGGGCTCATTAAGTACATAAATTGCCTAAAGGCATAACTATATTCAATGTGCCACAAATTATGGTAAATTTTAAATATATCTTCTTTGGGAAAGCTATCTTTTAAAAATTATAGCATTGAAATACATGACATTCTTACTCTAGGAAAAGACAAAGAAAATGAGGGGGGGTTCATATTTGAGAGTTGAGATGTTTCTTCTGCTTTGTACTGAAGCATCTCAGGTGGCATAAGGGTGGAGCTTAAATGAATTCTTGCCTTGTGTGTTGAATGCATCAGCATGTCATGTGTGAATTTGAAAAAAATATTCACCAGTGCAGATGGTGGCTGATGGGAGAAGATACTCTGGGAAAAAATATTTATTCTTCTCCATTTCCTTGTGCAGTGCTACTAAGCTGACATGATTCTTGACGACATCTTTTGTCCATACCACTGGACAGGAGGAATTGTAAAAGTTACACTAAGATGTTAGTATCCACTTTTCTAGTAGCATTCCCCGTTCTTTCCAACTCATCAGCTTGGGATTGTTATTTCTGTTTTACTGACATTAAACATAAGAAAGGTAAATTAGTAATTTGATTAATTCAGAACAATCAAGATTCTGTAGTGTATTTTTCTAGTACTTGTTCTCTTTGGCTTAGCTACCAAACAACAGCTAAGTCTCAAATCCATAATAAAGCAAATCTCTAAAGGATTCAAGACCAGATAGGAGGTGAAACTTGTTGCTAGGAAGCGATTTCAGGGCTACTACCTCAGAAGAAGATGCTTAAGAAATGTAGCTTTTTTTTCAGTTTTTTTGTTGTTGTTGTTGAGACGGAGTCTTGCTCTGTCGCCCAGGCTGGAGTGCAGTGGCCGGATCTCAGCTCACTGCAAGCTCCGCCTCCCGCGTTTACGTCATTCTCCTGCCTCAGCTTCCCAAGTAGCTGGGACTACAGGCACCCGCCACCTCGCCCGGCTAGTTTTTTGTACTTTTTTTGGTAGAGACAGGGTTTCACTGTGTTAGCCAGGATGGTCTCGATCTCCTGACCTCGTGATCCGCCCGTCTCGGCCTCCCAAAGTGCTGGGATTACAGGCTTGAGCCACCGCGCCCGGCCTTTTTCAGTATTTTTTTACATGACATTTTGTAACTGGGTGATTTACTTAGATTAAGACTTCCATTTTAGAGCCTGAATTATCAGTAACAGAAAGATAGAAGAGAAACCAGTACAAAAGATCAAGAGACAAAGTACAAGATTTGAATGAGGTAAGAAAAAAGGGATAATTTTCAGTTACATTTTCTAATACAGATAAGGCAGACACCATAAGGATGCTCAAGAATGACTGAAAATAGGCAAAAGAAGAAAGCACACTTCTAGGAATATACATCCTATGATTGTGACCAGTGGTTACAGAAAACCTTGCTAGGAGTAGTCAATCAGTTAAGAGCCCATTTACTAATGTATTTAGGATAAGTTGGCATGTTGAAATTATAAGGATGATTTAAAGGTACTGCCTTACTAACGAATGAATGTAAAAATTCAGAACAATCCAATAATAATACAAACTGCCACTTACAGAGCATCTTCTATAAGTGAGGAGCCCATATATGTCCAGGCCTCATTATCTTTATTTTTAATATGAGGAACTAAAGCTAAGAAAAGTGAAGTAACTAGCTCAGGATGCCTCTATTGGAAACCAGTAGAACAGGACTCGGAGGGCTGTTCCTACATACTACTCTGCATTTCCCAAGTTACCAAGTATAGATGTGCCAATTTCAGCTGCTTCCTGACTGGCCAAACCAAACGTGCAATTAGTTCATTTGACAGGTTGGCTTTTACAATGGAGAGGGATCAGTCAGGCACGGTGGCTCACACCTGTAATCCCAGCACTTCGGGAGGCCGAAGCTAGTGCATCGATTGAGCCCAGGAGTTTGAGAACAGCCCGGGCAACATGGCGAAATCCCATCACTATTTTATATACGTATATTATATTATATATATATTATATATATGTTGTATATAATTATATATGTTATATATAATATATATAATTTTTTTAAATTTAAAAAATAAACAATAGAGAGGGGTCTGCTGCTTGGTGATAGTGTGATCATCAAAGAAATTGGCTGAATTTTTGTTGTGTTCCTAAGTTGTATTTTGATCTTAATTTTATCTCCTAATAGGTTTTTGTACATAAGAGAAAACTCACTTTGGCAAGGCTGAATAGAGTAGATATTAAAAGTAAGGGATTTAAGTTAGACTTGACTTAGAATCCCAGTGCTGACTGTGTGAACTTGGACAAATTATGTAACATATCTAAGCCTCACATGTCTCCTCTGTAAAAATAATGTAACAATAATTCCAATCTCATAGGGGTCCTAGAAAAACAAAATGAAATAGTGCATCTAACATACTTACCATAGTCTCTGACATGTGGTAAGTCCTCAATATAAAGTAGCTGGTATCATTATGACTCTAATTTTTTTATTATTTTCAAATAATTTGGAAAGATTTCAATAATGCCTTATATTTGATAAGTGATTAAATTTTATAAAATAGTTTCAAAATCACATTTTATTCCTGCCCTGATGGCTATAATGTAGGTAGAACAAGTGTTACTACATTTTACTATTGTGTAAATTAAGGCTTGGAGAGAAAAACGTACCTTATGAGCTATAAACTAGTTTTCCTAGATTCATAAATGCCCTGAATGATTTCCTTATTGAGTTAGAAAATTATCATCAGAATTTGTAGGAAACACTGCTATTATATATAAAATTATTTATGTAAAATGCTTTTTACAGATCTTGAAAATGAGCCAAGAAAAAAATGAAATGTTTGAAAGTGAGTGGTCAAAAGAGAGAGAGAGAGAGAAGCAGTTGGCATCTGGTCTTGACACTGCAGAGAAGGCCTTGAAAGCTGAAAGTGAGGTATTACCATTCAGGAAGCTATTTTCTTCTTCTTGTAGTTCTAATTTAGGGATTTCATGTTATCATTTTAAAATGAAGTATAACTGTACATCTCAGCTTGGGATGCCATAACCAAATACCACAGACTAGGTGGCTCAAACAACAGAATTTTATTTTTCTCACAGTTATGGAGGATGGGAAGTCCAAGATCAAGGTGCCAGCCAAGTCAGTTCCTGGTGAGGGTTCTCTTCCTGGTTTGCAGATGGCTACCTTCTTGCTCTGTCCTCACGTGACAGAGTGAGCAAGCTCTGGTGTCTCTTCCTCTTATTATAAAGGCACTAACCCTATTGGATTAAGGCCCCACCCTTCTATCCTCATTTGACCTTTATCACCTCCCTATCAACCCTATCTATCTCCAAATACAGTCCATATTGGAAATTAGGGCTTCAACAATATGAGTAGGGAGGGAGAGCACAATTGAGTCCATAGCACTATAGAATATGTGTTTCTATAATAATAATGGGGTAGCTCTGTTGTTTCTCCAAGCTGAGTTCTAGCACTAATCAAAGAGTCCTTTATTTAGCAGATGTTTGATTGTTGTAGTGTTGGGCTTATCTCTCTTATAGAGTCATGCACTTATCTCTCGTTTTAACCTCTTGTCCTGCCATCTTGGAAAGATCTATCAGGAGATACAATCAGCCTATATTTTGAAAAGAGACCTGGAAGTAAGTTCATAGAAGTCGAAATCAGTAATTTAGAGGATAGTGACACTCAATCAGTTTATAGTTTGCAGTGCTTCTAATCTCATCCTAATGACCTACAGGAATTTTCAGTGAAATAAGATAGGAAATCATTATCATTTACCCTCTTCCCGTGGTTTTGGGAGGCCACCCTCTACTTTCTTGCCTTTTGTCTAAGCCTTTCTAATCAGCATTTGCCTTCCACTTTGACTTCAAGTCTTCGGGAAAATACCAAGCAGCTCCTCTCCTAAAGTAAATTTTATATAACCTATTCCCTTCATTGAGCACCACAGTCTGACTCTCAACCCAAAGTCTTCCACCAATCAATCAGTGTACATCCTGTGTCATCAGTGTAAAAATCTGATAAAAATCTGCATTTAGGCTGGGCACGGTGGCTCACGCCTGTCATCCCAGCACTTTGGGAGGCCGAGGTAGGTGGATTACCTGAGGTCAGGAGATCGAGACCAGCCTGACCAACACAGAGAAACCCTGTCTCTGCTAAAAATACAAAATTAGCCAGGCATGGTGGTACATGCCTATAATCCCAGGTACTCCGGAGGCTGAGGCAAGAGAATCGCTTGAACCTGGTTGCAGTGAGCCGAGATCACGCCATTGCACTCCAGCCTGGGCAACAAGAGCGAAATTCCATCTCAAAAAAAAAAACAAAAAAAAGAAATCTGCATTTAGCCAAAGTGTTTTCTCTCATGGATATATATTTTTAAAAATCAAGCTGGGCACCGTGGCTCACATCTGTAATCCCAGCACTTTGGGAGGCTGAGGCAAGAGGATCACTAGGAGTTCGAGACCAGCCTAGGCAACATAGTGGGACACTGTCTCCACAGAAAAAAAAAAAAGAAAGAAAAAAAATTTAAGTTAGCCAGGTGTGGTGGCATGTGTCTGTAATCCCAGTTACACAGGAGGCTGAGGTGGGAGGATCACTTGAGCCCGGGAGGTGAAGGCTGCAGTGAGCTGTGACTGCACCACTGCACTCCAGTGAGAGTGAGACCCTGTCTCAAAAAAGAAAAAAAAAGAGAGAGAGAAAGAGAAAAAACATCAGAGGATTAAAGAAAATCCTGGTTAATTAAGTCACTGAATATAATTAAATAAGCATAATTTGTAGTCAGGAACACAGAGTTTAAGCTGTGCATCATGGCCCCCTTATAGTCCCAGGTACTTGGGAGGCTGAGACAGGAGGATGGTTTGAGCCCAGAAGTTGAGGACTATAGTGCACCATGATCACACCTGTGAATAGCTACTGCACTCTAGCCCGGGCAACATAGTGAGACCGCATCAATATAAATAAATAAATATTTTTTTTAAAAACCACAGAGTTTAAAGTCAGACAGATTTATGGATTTGGAATCTCAGCTTTATACTTCCTGGCTATGTGAATTTAGCAGGTCACTTAAGATCTCTGAGCTTTACTTTCAACAATTCCCTTATAAGGTTATCAGAACATTAAAGGTAAACCACATAGCACTTTGTTCTATAAATGTTACTTCTAAAAAGATACATTTTAGAAACAGATAATATAACTATTGGCAGTCGTTGCAAGCATTGCCAAAGAATTTACCTGTATATAAGCCTTGCTTAATGTAGGAAGGACTCTAGAAACTAAATCTTTCAACCTGTGAATGATAGAAACTAAGAATGCTCAGTTTATTTAATTGATTTAATAGATTTATGTAAACTTTGTTTTAACTACTAAGAAAGGCATCGGTCTGCCAGAAGGATAGGTTGGAATATTTAAAACAAAAAATTTGTCAGGACCATTTCAAGATTCATTTGTAGAAGTATTATATCTTTTATGGGGAAAATAGACTTATTTTGTTTTACTAAATGTCTTCATTTCTTAATCAGGAATTGCAAAAATCAAAGTCAGAGCTTATATGCCTTTATAATGAAGTTCACAATCTCCCAGGGGCATCAGAAAGCAGAGACCATTTTTTAATAGCATGTGACCTGTTACGAAGAGAGAATTCTGAATTAGAAACAAAGGTGAGACTGAGTTAGGTATTTAAATGTTCAATATTTAACGTAGCTTTTATGAGGATAGGATACAAGGAAATTAATTTTAAGCATCAGATGATTTGGGAATTGGAGTTTCTTCTATTTTTATAGCATAAATTGCCATATACTGCCATATACTGTGGATTATGAGTCAAGCTATATGTCAGGATAAGTATTCAGACTTCAACCAGTACTTGGCAATTAGGATTAATCTGCGATTTTTTTTACTTTAAATCAGCTTCCCACAAACTTAATTTTTGGAGCACGTATTATAGTGTAAAATATTTATTTAAATGTCTTCAATTTTAAAATTTAGGATCAAAGTGTCTTTCTCAGTTACACTGAAAATTGGGCTTAGAATTAGGAAAATGTTCAAATATCCTGATTCAAGCTTGTTCCCTAAGTTTAAAAATGGCTTCCAGGGAGATTGCTTGCACCCAGCTGTAGCGTGCTATGATTGTGCCTGTGAATAGTCACTGCATTTCAGCCTGGGCAGCATAGTGAGACCCCATCTCTTAAAAAAAAAAAAAAAAAAAAAAAAAGGCTACCTGACCAGGGCAAAGAATTCTTATCTAGTCCAATACTAGACTGAAAGGTTGCCTGTATAATTTCTAGAGTCCCACCTATTAGGTTATCACTATCACCTCCTAGCTGAAAATTCCCTTCCTTAATCACTCTTTTGACCTAGACTAAAGATTAAGGAGCAAAGTCTTGAATACAGCAGTTAAAATATATTAGGCCATATTTTAATGTCATATGTAAGGTGAATAACTAAATCAAAACCTAATTTAAGCTGTGTGTAGTTACCCCAGAAAATCAGGAGCAGGTTGCTGAGGGATTGGGACATAGATCAGATAGCATGTGACATGGGAGGGAAAGGTCCAGAACATAGGGTCTGCTGCCTGGGAGAGTAAATATGTAGAGCTTAATATACAACCTAGCCTTTTTTGTGGGACCTTGTCAGCAAGGTAAGTTATCATCATGTTGTACAGTTAAAGGACCATGCCTTTTAAAACATCATTGACAAAGTTAACAACAGATGAGCTGAAATGAGAAGAATATAATATAAAATGAAGAGATCCAAATCTGCTCTTCTGGTGATCTGGGTCTCCTTTTTTCTTTATTCACCATTTTCTTTATTCTTTATCTTTATTCACCACAGAATAAAGAATAAAGAATAATACCAGACTCACAGAAAAAATTATGAAAGTATAAAGAATTCCCATATACTTTCACTCTTCCAAATGTTAACATGGTATCGTGTTTACCTTATCACTGTCTCTCTTTCCCTCTACACACACACACACACACACACACACACACTGATAGTTTTTTTGTAAACCCTTTGAGAGTAAGTTGGAGACATAATCTCCTTAAATATTTCCATGTGGGTTTACTAAAAACAATAACATCTCCTATTACCACAGTACAAGTCTCAAAATCAGGAAATTGACATTGACACAATACTATTATCTAATCTATAGCTGATATTCAGATTTTACCAATTATTCCCCTCTATAGCAAGAGAATAACTTTTTTCCTATCTGAGATCCAACCCAGGATCATACATTACATTTAACTGTCATGTCTCTATAGCTCCTTCAATCTGCAAAAGTTCCTCAGTCTGTCTTTGTCTTTCATGACTTTGATATTTTTGAAGAGTACTGTCTTAGTCAGTTTGGGCTGCTATAACATAATACCATAGACTGGGTAGGTTAAACAACAAATACTTATTTCTCTCAGTTATAGAGGCTGGGAAATATCAAAGATCAAGATGGCATATTCAGTGTCTGGTGAGGGCATTCTTCCTGATTTGCAGACAGCTGTCTTCTCATTGTATCGTCACATAACCAAGAGCAGAGAGAGGGAGTACAAGCTCTTTCCTGTTTCTTCTCATAAGGGCACTACTACCATCATGAGGGCTGCACCTTTGTGAATTAATTACTTGCCAGTGGGTCCTCCTAATACCATCCCATTGGGGGTAAGGCTTTCAACATATGAGCTTTGAGTCAACACAAACGTGCAGTGTATAACAAGACCATTGATTTTGAAGAATGTCTCTTAATTTGGATTTGTCTGATGTTTTCTCACAATATAATTCAGATTACCCATACTACAGAGATAATGTTGTATCCTTCTCAGTGTATTTTATCAGGAGACGTGACATTTTTTGTTCTATTACTTATGATATTAACTTGGATCATTTGGTTAAGGTACTGTCTGCTAGATTTCTCCACTACAAAGTTATTACCTTTGTCTTTGCAATTCATAAATATCTTTTGGGGAGATACTTTGAGACTATGTGTTATGTTTCCCATCAAACTTTTACTCATTGAAAGTTTCTATTTTGAATCTTTGATTTTTAAATTATATTCTAGTTTTTCTTCAGAATATAGAGTGCTTTAGACTTAAAGATAGTCTTGCTAAAGAAGTTGTATGTATTTGCTGAATCCCCCATTTTACAGGCTGTCATTTTGTTTGGGTTACAACGTCTAGACTCATACAGAATTTTAGAACTGAAAGGAGTATGATCATGTAGGCCAACTCTTTCAGTTTACACATAAGAACACCAAGGCCCAGGGATATTAGACTGCTGCCGAGTTACGTGGTAATTCTTAGCCTATGCTCTTTCTACCCTAGCCTAAGGCCTCAATCAGAAAGTGGAACCATCAGCTTAATTCTTATGCTACTTAAACATGGCTGATTATTAAACTGAGCTGTATCACTAAGATACAATTTTGGTAGGAAGAAGTCTGGAACAGAGTTGGTCCTGTTCCACAATATCCATGTCATGGAGGGTCTGATGGCTTTAACTTTCTTTGTTATAAAGAATAAAGCTTCTGCTCACTTAAGATATACACTACTTTGTCATGTGAGAATTCAGAATACCTAGAAAATGCTCTGTGTTAGTGTCACCATCCTCTTCAGAAACCCTCAGCAGCTTTCAGTTTGCTATAACATCAAATCTAAACTCCACTGTTTTATCTTTTTTTTTTTTTTTTTTTTTTTTTCCCCGAGATGAGGTCTCTCCATCACCCAGGTTGGAGTGCAGTGGCAAGATCATAACTCACCTCCCGCTCCTGGCCTCAAGTGATTGTCCTGCCTCAGTCTCCCGGCACCACACCTGGCTAATTTTAAATTTTTCTTTAATAAAGACAGGGTCTCCCTATTTTGCCAGGCTGCCTTTCTTTACTTCTTAAGAGACTAACATTTATTATCTGTAATGTTTACTTTTTTACAATGACAACAAAAATTAGTGATTAAGTAGCATTTTGGAATATTTTTTCCTGCTTACAAAAACAATGCAAGCTCATTAAGAAAATTGTCCTTTATGTTCCTTTATAATCTGACCTCTCCCTTCAATCTTGCCTTATTCCTTCTGAGTAGCTGGGACTACAGGCACCTGCCACCATGCCCAGCTCATTTTTTGTATTTTTAGTAGAGACGGGGTTTCACTCTGTTGGCCAGGCTGGTCTTGAACTCCTGACCTCATGATCTGCCTGCCTCAGCCTCCCAAAGTGCTGGGATTACAGGTGTGAGCCACCGCAACCAGCCTTCTTTTTTTCTTTTTTCCCTCCTTCCATCCTTCCCTCCCTCCCTCACTTCCTTCCTTCCTTTCTTTCTTTTCTTTCTTTCTCACTCAGTTTTCCAAGCTGGAGTGCCGTGGCATGATCTTGGCTCACTGCAATCTCCACCTCACAGGTTCAAGTGATTCTCATGCCTCAGCCATCCAAGTAACTGGGGTTGCAGGCAGGTACCACCACACCTGGCTGACTTCTGTTTTTAGTAGAGATGGGGTTTCACCATGTTGGCCAGGCTGGTCTCAAACTCCTGCAATCTTGCCTTATTCCTGCAGCTCCTTACTTTGTAGCCTCTATTCCAATGAAATCATCCTTCTTACTTTCTCCCAAATTACTCTATACTCCGTTCTACATCAGTGCCTTTGACCATACTGCTCCCCATGCTTAAAATGTGCTATTTGTAGTCTCTTCTCTTATCCATATCTTCCCAACTTGACTAATTCAAGACCAACCTTCTCCCCTAGAAAGATTATAGTCCATATGAAATTATATGGATTTTATGAGATTAGAATCCATTTTACACACTGTAGTTTCTCTTCAGAGAATTGAAAAGGCGTAGGAAACCAAAGGGATCTCTTAAAGTAAACTTAAATTGATCTTTGTAATTCAGTCCATTGTGTTCTTAGAATCAAACATGTAGAAGCTTTGCATTTTCAGACAGCCTCAGGATATGAGTCAGGCAGGCTGTTGTCTACCTTAGCACAATACTTTGATGGGGATTCATTTTCCTTTCTTATTTTTTATTCCATTCTATTTGTTTGTTTATTTGGGTACAGACACAGGGTCTTGCTATGTTGCTTAGGCTGGACTCAAACGCCTGGCCTCAAGCAGTCCTCCCACCTGAGCCTCCCAAAGTGCTAGGATTACAGGCATGAGCCACTGCACCTAGCCCATCTTCCTTTCTTAGACTCATTCCCCACCCATCCTTTCTACTCCCTGAAGGAAATGTTTTTTCATTTTATATGAAGATATAGAGTAACCTTACAGGAAAGGAAATCTTTAGAATCTGTTAGTCAAAACAAAACAAAAAGACTGAACAAATGATTTGCCAAATCACAAAAGGCAGTGACTGTCAAAGCATCTACTTGCAGAGTTACATGGGAGGCTTATTTAAAGTACAGATTTCCATTCCACCCCTTCCCTCGCCCCAGACCACTGATAGTGAATCTCACTCAGGGTAGGGGCTACAATATAAGATTGCATTTTCTTTAACAAATATTTTATTTTTTATTTTTATTTTTGAGACAGGGTCTCACTCTGTCATCTAGGCTGAGTGCGGTGGCCTGATCTTGACTCATTGCAACCTCCACCTCCCGGGCTCAAGCCATTTTTCCATCTCAGCCTCCTGAGTAGCTGGGACTACAGATGCACACCACCACCATGCCCAGCTAATTTTTCATAGAGACAGCGTCTTTCCATGTTGCCCAGGCTGGTCTTGAACTCCTGGACTCAAGCAATCCACCTGCCTCAGCCTCCCAAAGTGCTGGGATTACAGGTGTGAGCCACTGCACCCGGCCAAGACTGCATTTTTAAGAAATTCTTCAGCGGATGCTCTTACATCATAGTGATTTGAGAACCACTGTGGAAGAAAGCTCTTCTCTGTGAGATATATCTAATATTCTTATAGATACAGAAGATACCTCTGTAAGATATATCTAATATTCTTTCTAATGTTTTCTGGCAGCAATATATTATTGCTTTTTATTATATATTATTGCTTTTGTGAATCAATGAAGTACATTCAAAACTTGAAAACAAAAATGTGTGGTAATAGTGTAAAACTCTGTAGATCACATATTTGTGCTTGTTAAAAGGTATAACCAAATGCTAAACAGCACTCTGACAGCCCAACCCCAGAGACCAAAAATACCTTTTAAAAAAAAAAAAAAGTGGGAATTTACGTACCCTTATGCCTATGGTTAAAAAAATCGATTACGTTATATAACAACTGCAAAGTATTAAATTAAGTTGGAATCAGACTTTAATTAGGATGTCATTTGATATTATATAAGCCAATAGTTAAGCATTTAATGAAATCAATATACTTTTTCCACAACTATAAATAAAAGTATGCAAAATAGAATATTTGTCTTTTCACTTAATTTTGCAGGTCTTGAAGCTTTCACAAGAATTTGCACAATTAAATGATTTTACTCTCAGGGGGAAAACTGCACCTTCTAATTTAATTACAAGTGAAAATATCTGTAAAGATCCTGAGTCTAATGAACCAGTTTTGGAAATAGAAATTCAAAGCCCAAAGGAAGAGAGAGAGGAACTCTGGTAAATTGGGAAAATCCTATATCACATTAATTATTCGGAGGGGGTATATTTTATTTGGCTTGATCATTATAAGAATTTGATATTTGGCTGGGCACAGTGGCTTAAGTCTGTAATCCCAGCACTTTGGGAGACTGAGGTGGGCAGATGGCTTGAGCTCAGGAGTTTGAGACCAGCCTGGGCAACATGGCAAATCCCATCTCTACAAAAAACAAAAATTAGCCTGGCGTGATGGTATGTGTCTGTAGTCCCAGCTACTTGGGGGGCTGAGGTGGAAAGATTGCTTGAGCCCAGGAGGTAGAGATTGTAGTGAGCCATGATTGTGTCACTCATGGCACTCCAGCCTGAGCAACAGAGCCAGACCCTGTCTCAAAATAATAATAATAATTTGATATTCATTTCCAAATTATGTGAGTGGAAAAATTAGTTATAAGCGTTCTCCAAAATGTTTGTCTTTTGATATATTATTACATTTTAAAACTTTTTTCCTGCCTTTAAAGAACGAGTATATGCGGCCCGGCACAGTGGCTCACGCCTGTAATCCCAGCACTTTGGGAGGCCGAGGCAAGTGAATCACCTGAGGTCAAGAGTTGGAGATGAGCATGACCAACATGGAGAAACCCTGTCTCTACTAAAAATACAAAATTAGCTGGGCATGGTGGCGCATGACTGTAATCCCAGCTACCCGGGAGGCTGAGGCAGGAGAATCGCTTGAACCCAGAAGGTGGAGGTTGTGATGAGCTGAGATCGTGCCATTGCACTCTAGCCTGGGCAACAAGAGGGAAACTCTGTCTCCAAAAAACAAAAACAAAAACAAATATATATATGTGTGTGTGTGTGTGTGTGTGTGTGTGTGTGTGTGTGTATCTCCTTTTATTAGAAGATTTAGAAAGCATGCAAAAGTATAAGGAGATTATAACAACCGTTAATTCTCACCCAGGAAAGATGTTAACATCCTAATTTTTCTTTCTTTTTTCTGTATATGTACACATATATGTGTATATTTTTATATAATTATGACTATATTCTGCACAGTTTGTTTTTTGCTGTCTCTAACATTGCATTTGATAATTTTTTGACCACTTTCCTCTTATTTATCTGTCTCTCTATCGATCTGTGTGTCTATCTATCTTGTTAATTTTGCCCTCTAGCTCCTGTACTTCTACTTTTTTAACCAAAAGTACCTTTCATGGAAACATGAGGTTTTGGCAAGTGCACCACTCTTCTTGGGCACTTAAGTTAATAGTTGCAATCAAATTTTGTCTGGGAAAAAGTTTAGAACTAAATAATCAAAAGGAAACGATGATGTCCATTTTGACATATACCATACTGAAGGATACATTCATCAATGAAGTGAGAAAATATAGTCTAGGTGTAGACAAATTCATGTTCTAAATGTTTGTAAATGTTCTAAAGATAGAAGGAGATTGTTTTGCCAGTTTGGGGTTTCTGAATATTATGCCCTCCTAAAAGTTGCTTTTAACTTTCGAGTAAGCTTTGAGTCTAAGATTCACAATCATGAAACCTAGTTGGAGATGTGGGAGAGCATATGGAGAGATAATGGGGAAGGCGTATGATAATGGTCACAAAAACAGAGAGCCAAGCAGCCACATCACAGCATTTAGGTTTACTGTAGGGAAAAAGAAAGTCTAGTTCTTGAGCACTGGAACAGTGTCTTACAGGATTTTTGAGGAAGGTTGTTCTAGTATCTCTTTATTAGATAAAATGGAGATGGAAGATAGACCAATTAATCTATATGTGTGATAGATGAAGAGATGGTTGCCTACATTGAGTAAGTGGCAATGAAGATGAAATGGTCAATCTGAAAGTTCTTCAAGAAGGAGCTGACATAAATAAATCTGACAAAAGTACACCCAGGTGATTTTGGGTAATTGGCAGGGATACTTGCCTTGGGGAGCAAGGATATAGCTTTAATTCATCTAGGGGTGGGAAACCTTGCCATAAGAAAGATAATGGCCTTCCCTCTTAAGAACTCCTTGATGCCACCTGTTTCCAGGACTTGGTCCAATCTGCTTCCCATAACTGGGACTCTGAAAAGTCTAGGTATCTGCCATCTGCCTCCTTCTCCTTTTTTTCTCATAATGTTTTCCTACTTGTTTGTCTCCTATTCCTCTCTTCACAGCCTCCCCTCATCATGGGTCCATAACACAACCACGCTCGGCAAGACATTGTGATTTTACTATGTGTCAGGCACTGTAGGTAGGTACTGAGGATACAAAATAAGACACAGTTTCTTATCCTTATGGTCCACATAGTCTGATGGAGAAAAATGGTTAAACAAGGCAGTACTGGGTACTATGGGAACACAAAGCATGGGCCCTGGCCCAAGCTAATGAATCAAAAAATATTCTTAGAAAAAGTCTGAGTAATCAGGGGCCAAGCAAAAAGATGGGAGAATAATTTTCAGGGGAGATATGGCACGTGCAAGAGGAAGCATGATTTGTTTGAGGCCCTAAAAGTGACCTCTATGCTGCTATAGCATGGAGTGTGAAGAGAGGAAATGGGGAAGGGGATGATGAGAATGAAGAGGCAGGCAGAGGCCTGATAATGAAGGGACATGAAGACCTGTGTTAGGGAGTCTGGACAGTAGGAAACTACTACAGAGTTTGGTAGCATAGAGAAGATGACAACAGGCTAGAGAACATCTGTCTTTGAGAATAGATGATATTCTTTAGTAACATTCAGTAGTTTAGTATAGTCAACAGAAGGCAGTTGGATTGATCCAGGGTTGAGGTTTTGCCACATGAGTGCAGTGGAAGGACAAAGGGGTAAGAGAGTTGACCATTTTATTTAGACAGTGATTGAAATAATGAACTCTAAACTCTATGTTAGATTTGGAAGCAAGTAAAAAAAAGGACTTTTTATCAGTAAAACTGATAGAAAAAGAGACAAGGAATTGCAGATACTATGATTGCCCTGGGACCAAGTAATATAGAAAGGAAAAGCTGGAATCTAACATTTAATTTTAATATTTCAGAAGTGAAATAGTTGCTGCTGCTGACAACTCATGATATGGTCATGCAAGTAGTTGGCAAAATAGGAGAGATGAGAAGGTAATTAGAGAGAAGGAGATGAAAGAAGCGATGCCGAGGCATCCATGGGTGGTCTCTGTGGGACTTGCAATCTTCCACTATAATGGCAAGACTTGGGGTGAAGCAGGTGACAGAGAGCCATGAGCCAGAGTCTTCAACTGAAGTGAAGTAGCAAGTGGTACAGCATACCTAGCATGGTCTCATGCACACAGAAGCTGCTTATAAGCCAAGTTGATTGATTGATTCTTACAGTACATTTCTTCTACTAGATTTTAAGCTCCTTTAAGGTATTAAGGTAATGGGCCATGTCTTGTTTTTCTGTTTATAGTGCTGTTGTCATAGAGTAACAGACTCTTAGAACTGGGGGCACCTTCAGGAGATCTTCCAACTTAGCAGTTTTCAAACTTCTACTTCCCAAAACTTTAGGAATTGTGCAGAGGGGCCTCAGAAATTACCTTGTAAGATGAGGAAATTTATTTTACTCATAAATTATGAGTAAATTTATGATGAGTGGGACTATTGAGCCCTCCATTCCCATTTCACCCAGAGAAGCTCCAATTTTATGTCTCATATATTGGGTTTTGTGTAAGATTTTTAATTTAACAAAGGGTCCACTGCTAAAATAAGTTTGAAAACCACTGATATTTAGCTAAATCTTATTTTTTCACAAATGAGGTCTCTGAGACCAAGAAAACTGAAATGACTATTTCATTCACAATCACATACACAGCAAGTTATTCGCAGGCGTGGGATGAGGACCCAAGACTCCTAACTCTGAGTCATGAGAAGTACTACTTTATCCACTTTGAAGAGGATGTAGTCACAAATATCCTAAGGGCAAGAAGGTCTTGGGACACTTGCGTTCTAGGTCACTTTCTCAGAAAATGAGCTTTATGGTGCTGAAAAATTGCTTAGGGCTGAATCTCTCTATATGTATAACATGAGAGGTAAGGTGGGAGGAACTCTTCTAAGCCCAGCCTCTCTTGTTCTTGACTATGTCTCCAGTGTCTAGAACAATGCCTGACACATAGTAGGTACTCACAAAATATTTGAATAAATGAAATTTTCCCCCTACTCCTACTATGTACAATGGGTGTATGATTGCACTATCTTGCAACTGAATCCAAAGTTGGAATTCCAACGGCAGCCCCAAGCTTATAGAACCCAGCTAATCTCAACCTGTGCCTGAGCCAGAACAGCTGGTGGCTTCCCTTGACCTTCATGAGCTTTGTTCTTTCCAACACACTCTCATTCACTATTTCATTGCATCCTTACTACTTTTATCAAGAATTGTTTGATAAGTGTTCAAGTCCAGTTTAATTTCAAGTTCAACTTGATGATGTTGACTTTCTGTCTCCTCCACAGACTACCAATGTATTTTTCCTCCTCTTCCAAACTATTTCTTCCCCAGTCCAATCTGTTCAGTGAATAGCCCCTCCACTCACACAGCTGATGAAGCCAAAACCTAGGAGTCACCTTTGATTCTTCCCCACATCTGTTCCACCAACACATTCTGTCACTTCTGCAATGAAAACATAAAATATTGAATCTGTTCACTTCTATCTATATTTCCACTGTTATTACCCTACTCCATAGCACTGATATCACTCATCAGGACTGTTATGTATCTTCCTAATTGGCCTCCCTGCTTCCATACCCTCCTCCCAATCCATTCTCCATGGAGTAACCAAATGGTCTTTTTAAAATGCAAATCGAATAATATTGTTCTCTCTCTTAAAACCCTCTCCATGGCTTCCTATTGCACTTAAAATCTAAACCCTTACCATGACCCATAAGGCCCTCCATGACTTGGCCTCTACCTCCCTCCTCCTCATCTTGCTGCCTTTTAGATTCTCCAACTTTTAAAGCACGTTCCTGCTTCAGGACCTTTGCACTAAAAGTTTCCCCTGTTCAGAATAGTCTTCCCCCAGCTTTTCATGTGGCTAACTG